ATATATTGTATTTATTTTTGTAAAGGACATCATTTCTAACATTCTAATATATAATAATAATTTTTTTCTGATTTCAGTAGATCTTACATCCGGGTAAGGAATGAAATCAGTTAACAGGATTAAATGTTCTACTTTACAATGCTACATCTACGTAGGTATATTTAACATTATAAGTATCATTTCCACCTCTATTCTTTAAAAATATTTGCTAGTCCTGGGCTGGCAAAAGGTGTCACAGCCTTGCTAGATAATAAAGGAGAAGTTGTCCCTTTCCCAAATTACCTTTAATCCCCAAAAGCAATCTGGAATTCAAAGCTGATGTTTACATTGAAATCCAGGGCATTCAACGTTCAGATTTATGGGCATATCTAGATTTTGATGAAATGTGAAAGACTTGAGCACAAAATGGCTGCCAATCTCTCTCTCTCTCCCTCTCTCTCTCTCTCTCTCTCTCTCTCTCCACACACACACACACACACACACACACATCCCTATCTCATGCACCCCGTGTACAAATACCTCCCTCATACTCAAAATTGCTCTATTTTCACTAACGGCAACCAAATATAGTTTTGACCCTTTTTTCAGGCAGAAAAGAGAGCCATAAGCATGCATCCTCACCACCACAAAGAAGAGAAAATCACTCCAATTTTTGGTGCCATTAGAGCAATTTTGACCCCTTTTGCTGGGAGGAAAGGAGTAATGAAAGAACTTGCCTTTCTCTCCCTCTGCTAAGAGGTGGAAAACCTTTTTTGTTATTAATGGCTCTTTGCCTTCTTTGTTTTTAACTCCTCCTATATCACTAGCAGCTCTTCCTTTTCTACTTCTATTTCCTCTTCCGCAGACCAACTACCTCTCCCAGACCAACTAAAGGATCTACTTATTGGTCCACCAATTAGAGAGGGAACCGTGTTTGAAATTATCATTAATCTTAAATTCAAAAGAAATGCTATTAGTTAAAAGTGGACTTATTTTTATATACGCATATTTATTCTTTTTGGTTTTTAATTGAATAGATTCTATGGTTTTATTTTTTATTTGTTTATTGTTAAATATTATACATTTTAAGGTATAGTTATAATTTCTAAATGTTACAATTTTATATTGTCATTTGCTTTAAGACTATGATTTTGAAAGGCAAATAAGAAATGCATAAATAAAAGAACTAAAACTAAAATTTCAAGGTGCTTTGAATATTAGAAACAGTAACATTAAGAATTAAGACATACACACATGCATATACCCCCCCCCATACAAAAACCCTTCAATTCATTATCCAGACTTTTTTTTTGCCATTCTTGAAAAACATCTATGGATTCAACCACTATAAATTATTAGAAAAAAAAATAAAACAAAATACATTTAGAACATGATTAGTCAAAATTATTACTTCAAATATTGTAATGCTACATTGATTTAGCACTTCATTATTGCAAAGTTTTGAAGGAACTTTACAACTATCCCAGATTTGCCGAGTGCAATTCACTCTGAGTTGCATGCTTCCATTTTTTGCATATATCTGGGCATGAGGTTGTACCTCCTGTTTCTTCTAATAGCTGTCAGTGTTCTTATCCTCAATTTGTTGTGTCCTTTTCTGAACCCAGTTAAATTGTTGGATTACACAACAGCCCATTTAAATTTTATTAACCCTGATTATACATTGGAAAAGCATCAGTTTGCATACATGTGGAGTTTTTTTATTTCCTGCGATGCAACAATTCTTTGGCTATGGAAGAGCTACTGAGACTGCAATCTACCAGCCTTTACTCCATATAAATCCAATTGAAGCCATTAAAAATTGAGCAAGAAAAGGAGATTATGGTGCTTTACTCTAACTAGCTAAAAAGATCTTGTATGCCCCCTGCCTATTTTATATCACTTCAAAAACTGGCCCCTATGTATACTGTATTCAGTTTTAGTATCAGAGACTAGCTAGTGGGAAACTACTTGGTGATTTAGGATAAAAAAAATCAAAATAAGAATAGTAAATTTCAACTGCCCTCAGCAATGTGCAAATTATGATAGAAAGACAAAAGAATTTCTGAAAAAAATTCTCCCTTCTCAACTCATGTCGTCATAGTAAGTAAGCCAAACAGGAAAAGAGCAAATAAGGTAACTATAGCTTTTAATTCCAGAACTGCAAATTATTATTTCACCATTTGTTGTTGTCTTCCCTATCAAAAAAACAAGATTTAACAGAAATGATAAAATATATTCTTGTCATATCTAAATGACTTTATGAAGTTCTGAATTTTCCTTGGTTGTTTTGTGATACTTTAACAAGTTTATCACCACTGTTTTAGTTGTTGATTCTTTTAATTGTTTTATTGTTTGCTTCTATTTACTATAATAGTGTATTATTACATATAATTAAAAGCTGCTGCTATTGAGGGATAATTTTTTTAAAATAAAATAAAAAATAAATATGGGTTAGTGCCTCTAGTCCCAGAATTCAGCTGTTCCCACTGGGTTCTGTTACTTTTATTCTAAACTTAGTCAAAATTAACACAATTGTATATCAAATTCTTTGAAGCATATATTTTGCAACCAAAATGTACAGACCACGTATTGTCTCACCAATAAACCTAGCACCAGCAGACCAGACAGTGGAAAAATATACAGAAAGAAGACTTTCATGGGTCATCATGAATGGCAGGAACACACATCTGTTATAAATGGACTCTGTAAAATTTTATTTCCTGCTAAGGTACAAACCAAAGTTGTGCCAAGGATAGCAATTCTACCAAGTTACCTGAAATATTTCTCTTGGGTGATTGTTATAAGCATTTTTGAGAACAGTCCCAGTTTTTCTTTCGTTTGCTCTATATATGCTTCTTTGTGTCTTGCTTTTAAAACACTTAAATATCAGAACTGTTACATATGTAATACTGATCCACATAAACTCCCCTGTGAGACTTTTTGACTAAAGAATGAATACTATTTATATACATTTACACAAAATAAATAATGTAGCAGTTATACTATCCAATTAATAGGAGTATTTATTTAAAGCTTCACTCAGCCTAAGCTGATGCACTAGTTGTAACTCTGGTTGTAAAAGAGACCAGGAAGCGCTGACAGAAGTAACCCATGCTAGCATGATCACATGGCATGACTATGCAGTAAGCTCTAGATGGGGTAGCTTTTGAAGACAACTCAGAAATTACCAGTGGTTCAGAATGCAACAAGCAAGCTAGTGGCAAATGAAACTTACTATTACAACATAATACCAACTTTTGAGGCTACACTGGTTACCAATAGACTTCCAATAATGCTACTTTTTACCTGTAAGACCTTTTACAGAATGGCTTTGAACTATATCAGGGTCCTTCTTTTCCCAAATGATTCAGCCTGTTATGTCAGGGCCTCCTTAAACTCCTGCCTCCCTGCAAGGGAGGTACAAAAGTTGTGGAGCAGAAAGATGACTTTCTCTATAACAGCCCTAATGATTTTAAAACAGTATAGCTCCTGGGCTAAAGAGGCCTGGTCTCCTTCTCTACATTTCACAAGGCAGGAAAAGGTTTGATGAGTGGCGACTTGGCTGCCATTATTATTGTTACATGCTTTTACATATTTCTATATGTTCTTTTTGGGGGGATGTCACATTATATTGTGTCAGGCTCTATATGTTTTAATGATATTTTGCTTTTGCACACTACCTTGAGTCTGGTGATATAGCCAGTATAAAAATGTTTTAATAAATAAATAAAAATTAATTGGCTTTATAGATGGAATTTCAAATGTTGCTTCTTCTATCCACATTTGTTTATTTACAATACTTGTTTATTGTTACAATAACATTAAAACAGTCACTGTAAGACATGCACACAAAAAAAGAAAAGAGTAAAACCCTATCTGTGGAAGTACATGAAGCTGTGTGACTTTTTGTTTTTGTTTCATTTGACATGGCATGCAGTTAAAATGTCATCACTACAGATATTACAAGTATGGCACTGCAGTATTAGAGATGACTAATTTTGAAGGCATCATTTAGTTTTAATATTATTGTGTTTATGCAACAATGATTTTTAGTAAATTCTCTAAATTACATTTAAATAAGTAAACAAGTGCCTTTTGTTCAGAAGGTGGAGTCATATTTGATTAAAATGGCTCATATATCATCGAGAGCACTAGAAAGATTATATCTTTGGAAAATATTGTTGCTGTAATCAAGTAGGTGAGCTTTTGGCATAAAACAGTCTGCAAATCTACAAAATATATTTCTCTCCTGGAACACAACTCTATTTTATTGCAATTATTTTGCTCATACTTTCCATCAATTGGTTTGTTAACCTGATATTATTACATACATAGAACATGCCACATGAGGGATAGAAAAGAAGATTCTATTATCAGACTAATACACTATTCAATGTGAGGTTTCATAATCCATCAGATTATAAATTATGCCAAAAATGAAAAAGTCTGCACAAAAAAAATACATTGTAAAACAACATCTTCAAATGGTGTTCAAGCGAATATGACTTGATCTAAAACTCCAAGTCTCTTTTTGCTACGTGAAAATATTTATAAACTACAGACTTAGCATACATACCTGAACAAAGGGGTGGGGAATCCCCATACCTCCACTGAATACAGTGGGATACATTTCAGAATAAAAATGCAAAGGATTTTCCCCTAGATTAATATTAGTCTCTCTAGAGTAAAATCAGCTACTCGGGAAAGCTTTCAATGATGATGCAAGTTACATAAAATGAGTATGGGGAACCTGCAGGAACAAGGCATTACTTACTCATCTAACAAGCTGGTTCTGTAAGATTTAAAGAGGCAGCTAACACAATACCACACTGGTCAATTCCTCTATTAAAAGCCACAAACTTGCAGATCATCAAGGGCTGGGGAAGCAAGATAATGAAGAAAGGGGAACTCCAGCAAAAGGGAAAAATAAAATATAATCTATTCTCTCTGATGGATGCATGAAATATTGTGCCTATATATTCTAACAACCTCCCCTTTTCAAGTGACTTTCAGACTGTTACCTGTTTGTGGTGCCTGTGCTGTTGCCTCCGCTGCTATGCTTTCGTGACCGGCTCAGTCTCTGCAGTGGCTTTGGGTCCTGCAGCCCAAGACTTGTCATGGAAGGGAAGGCTGAGGCATACCCATGTTCACACTCTGCATAAATTATGATCAAATGGAAACAGAAGGAACAGTGAGTAAGAAACAGTATTTTCCAAAGACAACACCAGCAGAGCCCTGAATAACTTCTCAGGGAACACTCTCAGCTTTAAACAAATGTGAGAACACTCAGACATAAAAACCACAGGCAATGCACCTGTTCATATAAGGCTGATTAGCTTAGAGTCCAAATCCCTTTCAGTCAGTCCTGGCGACTGCATGCAGTTTTCTCTCTTTTTCAGAAGTGGTTTCCCATTGCCTTCTTTCTAAGGCTGAGAAAGAGTGAATGGCCCAAAGTCAGCAAAGTGACAAAAAAATTTCATGCCCAAGGCAGCACTAGAAGTTAGTCTCCCAGTTTGTATACTAGTTACATTAAGCACTACCCCAAATCGGTTCTCCAAAGTATTTCCAAGACAACTTTAATGTCTGTATCAAAACTTCTTGATCAAATCCAGAGCACATGCCACTCTGCTCACATTTCTCCATCTATTACATGTGAATCTCTTTGGCCCTGTTTTTTCCCCTCTCCCCAAGCAACTGCTTCTTTCAAAACAAGTTAAATTGGACCTATTTCCAGGAAGGTGGGCCACCTCAATTCCTGCCCCTTCCTCAAAAAGTGTTACCTTGGTCTCTGCGATCCAGGTATTCGGCTGCCTCCAAAAGGCGCTGGATGTTGATCATCTCTACACGCTCCATAGCCCTTGGGATGGATGAGACCTTTCCCCCGAACAATTGTGAAGGGGACTTTGCTGCCTTGCCCTGGCACTATGGGTGAAATAGACCTTAGTTCTCTGATTTTTCCAATAGAGAAAAAGAATAAGGTAGGAAACGAGTAACTTGGAGAAAGGGTGCCTCTCGTCCTGCTTCTACGAAGTTAATCAGTGAGGCGTAAAGAAGAATTGAACAACTACTGCAGCAGTTACCCTGACTCATGGCCACATCCTACTTCAAAAAGATCTCTTTCCTTTACCTCTAGGCACTAACACAGACCTTTCCCACAACTCCTGGTCCCGACTGTATCCCCTTTGGTCTTGGCTATTCGTCTTCTTCTCCTTTAAATCTCTAGCACTGCGCCCGACCCAGCTTCATACCCTTTTCTCAGTGCCCCAAACATTTATTCTGTCCTCTAACCTCTTCTAAATCTAGTCCTGCATTCTGCCCCCTATTGCCCTTTTCCTCCGTGGACCCACACTTTTCGCCTCCTCTATCTCGATGCTGCCCCTGCATCCATCGTGCAAGCCCTCTCCCCAAAGATCTATCGCTTTCTCCGCCTTCTGCAGCAGATATTGTACGTCCCTGCCTCTTTCACAGTTTGTTTACCTCCGCTTAGAAATCATGGAGGGGGAGGGGACGCACATGAGACTTTCAGCCCCAATGCCATTTGGGAAATGTAGTTCTCGGCTTCCTCTCCATGCAAGTGCGGCGCGTGTGCACGTTTGCATTATGGGAAGCTTCGTTTTTTCCACGTTACACATGTTGCCCGGACAGAAGAAAGCTTACGCAGCCCTTCCCTCGGTGTGGCTATGAACACGGATATAAGATGGGGAAATCCCTTCCTTGTTTACGTAAAATAACCCATGAAGGTTGATCTAATAATAAAATAAACAGAACTCCAGGATAAATGGACAGCTTGTCTTGCGCCTTCCCCTCTAAATAATTAGTTTTGGGATTTGTTAAGCTTCAAACCATTAATTGCATAAACTACTCGGAAACAAGTTTCACTGAAAACGATTTGTTGCTCCATTTGCACGGTTTTAAGTTGTCAAGTGACAAAGGTACCACAAAACTGCATTTTAATTATTATAATCTGCCATAATAAATCCATCATATAACAGGTTCTACAAGCCTGTTTTGTTTTACCTCTGCAATTATTTCAAGAAACTTTTAAAATACAATTTATAATCAAATCATCTTATAGAAATTAAAGTAAGTTTGCCACTGAAAACATGTTTGCTTGAAACTTAAATTCCATCAAATTTAATTAAAATTACACATTGGATAAGAGTTTTAATGTGAAATAATGGTTACTTCAGATCAAATCTTTATTACTGTTACAGACAGCATAAATAATTAATTCTGTTTTAGAGCCTTATAGGATACATCCTATGGAATGAAGCCTATGTCTAAAACATTCCCTTTTCTCAAATATATGTATGTATATATAATACTGGAATGAACAGGTCCTGTGATGTGATTATTTTTGGTCCTAAAAACAAATAATATATGAATATCCTTCAAATCACTAATAGAATCATACTTTAAACTAGAAAAAAATAGAATTTACAAAAAAATAAATGTATCCCCATGTGTAGGGAAAATGAATTTTAATTGAAACTAAAATTGCTAGGCAAACTGAATTTTAATTGAAAAACAGACAAATACAAAAAGTTGGAAGAAAATGATGTGCAAACTGGTCAGAATGAAAAGCCGAATTGAGTACTTTGTAATATTTTATAATTGAATACAGAAAGTATTTTGCAGATACCAAACAGAGCCTCCTATGTTCAGTTTTTAACTTAGCAAGAAAACAGTGTTATATTGTTTCAACAAGAATCATTGTAAAGCAACATAATTTTTATTCCTGAAATAAATAAGTAAACACACATCCATATTAAGCACATATGAAAATAACTCAGAAGTGCTTCAGACTTGTAGATGTACAACATAGCAGCTTCTTTCTATTAGAGCACTCTGACTTTTTTCAGATTTCCATAGGAGCCTTTTAAAAAGTGCTACTGGTTAAAACTATCCATTCATTAAAATTAATATAATCTTTAAAACAGTGGTTTTTCAGGTTTATCTCAAAACTAGAAAAAACCTGGAGCAGTTTAAATGAATAGCAGAGAGGTAATATGTAGCATTTGCTTGAGATCCAAAACATTTCTTGCTAATAATTTTCAAAGTTTATATATACGAGCTTTTATATACCCTTCCAGCCAGCAAATGCTCATCTCCAACTAGTCGCCCCAACTCTATCCCAAATTAAGGGATTACAGGGTCATAAGGGAGTTATATGTAAGAGGGTGAGTAGTTACAGTACTGGGCTAGAAACTACAAAGTCATGACTTCCAGTCCTGCATTAGGCATGAAGCCAGCTGAATAATTTGGTGTAGTCACTCTGTCTCAGCCCTTGGAAAAAGGCAATGGTAGCCACTTCCAAAAATGTAGTGGGCACTTGTAAGTCACCAGAAGCGAAGACTACTCAAAGGTACATTCAGATCTATTTCCACAATTATTGTTAAGACAGAATCCTAAGTAAACAAAATGTGATTATTTTTACACAATCTTGGTAAATTTGAACATTATTTTTATGAGGTTCCATAATATGAGGTTCCATAATATGAGGTTCCATAATTCCATAATCACAGGTGTCAAACTCGCCATATCATGTGACGTGCCACGACGTATCGCGACTCTTTGCATTGCTGGCAATGGGGTGGGCATAGCTTTGGTATGATGAAACCGTTTGACACCCCTGTTCTAGATGGAGCTTTCACATAATCATTCAGCCTTATTCATTGACTTGTAAAAAGGATCCTGAGGCACACTCCACTTAATCTGTCTTTTCACATCAACCTCTCCATTGTTTTTCTTTCCAAAGTGCAGTACTGTATTTAGTTAAAAAACAGTTACATGTAGCTTTTGATTGATAGTTCTACTAGCTGTCTGGAAGCACCTTATGCATAAAGTCAATGGAACCCAAATTAAGTCATATTACTTAGTGGTTTAAAGATTTTTGCATAGGCATGTTTCATCATGATATGGTAGGTCATTTGGTTCTAGGATTTCATAGGAATACATAAAAGATTTTCTCTATAAATCATAAAAGGTTTATGAAAGAGAATGACATTATCCTTTAAAATAAGTTCTTATTGCTATTATATTTCCAAAACTGATCAGACCACATGATATCACTCTTAATTAGTTTTCTGAATAATTCTTATTTAATGTAGTCACAGAAGTCTTAAGATTTTTTTTTTGCCTGCCTGCACTTCAGTATCTCACTTTATAATAATAAATATTCCCATAGGAGTTTCATCCAAAAGATATGGATTCAGATTACATGGATCTAACCTGATAGACAGCATATGATAGATGTTGGTTGGCGAGAATAAGAATTGTAGTGCAATAGAGCTAGAAGGCTATTGACCCAGGGAAGGTCATTCTACAGGGAATATCACTTTATTAGAGCTCATGATTAGCAATGACAATCCAACATCCAACCCCAAAAATCTCACCAGAATCTCCAACAATTCTGAGAAACTATTCAGTGGTTATACTCAATCTGATATAATAATAATATATAGTAGTAAGTCAATAGGTTTATTTATATTGAAATCCTATCCATGTCAATTTAATAGTAAAGCTAACTGAGTGAGATTTCTGGCACTATCAAATCTGGACTGCAAACAGCCAGACAACTCCTAGACCAGTGGTTCTCAACCTGTGGGTCGGGACCCCATTTGGGGTCGAACGACCATTTCACGGGGGTCACCAAACAACGCAGTCCGCCATTTTTTTCCCCCTTTTCCTTAGCTGTGCTACTCCCTTTTATTCTATTGGCTTTTGAAAGCCAATAGAATAGACTCTCTTGAATAGAGTCTAATTCTATTGGCTTTCAAAAGCCAATAGGAATTGTCCAGGCTGTCTCTGCCCTGCTGAGCCCGCCAAAATTCCCATTCTGCAAACGGTGCTGCACCAGTTGAGTAGTCCTCGACTTACGACCGGTTGGGGTCGTAGCATTAAAAAGGTTGAGAACCACTGTCCTAGACAGCAGCAAAGAGATACAGAAAACTCAATTAGTGCCATCTAGTGTTATGCAAACTTGCTACTTCACAATCCACAGGTTAGCCTATATTAATTTCTTTGTTTATACAACTGTAGCTTGTGATGTTCCATAGCTTCTCAGAGAAAGCAAATCAAAAGCCTAGAAAGAAATCCTGGGAAAGTTCTTTGAGGGATCTTCCAAAGCTACTGTTAGTGGCAGCACAAAGAGCATTAACTCTACTGAAATTCTTATAGGTTAGCATAAGTAAACAATATTTCACTTCCAAATTCAGCAATAATTACCGATCAAATATAATTTTAACTAATACTTTTTCCTTTGGATACCTCATCCACATTTTTGTTCCTCAGCAATATCCAAAAACATTACTTGGCAGGCTATTGGGATTATAGAGGAAGAAAATGAAACATAAGATATAAAGCATAATTTGAAAAAACATTACAATGGACTTGCTGCCAATGATTATCACAGATATGATCTAATCAAGTATTTTCATTCCCTACAGAATACTATTTTATTCTTCAAAATAGTTCAAAGAATGCATCACACCCTTGCAAGCATCAGGTTTATTCCATACCAGATGCAATTTCAGATTGACATACAATTTCCAGTAATTTAATAATTTTGCTCCTGCTAGCTCTGCCTCCTAAATAAATAAACAAATAAGTAAATAAACAAATAATTACTATTACCACCCAGTTTCTTTGCTTTTAGGCTACGCTACAATCAACTTCAACAAAAACTACAAAATTTTAGCCTATGAATTAAGAAAAGAAGAAAGAACTTAAGCTACAATCTTCTATTTTAATTCAACAATATCAAAGCATATATAAACAATAAAGTACATTAACTAAATGTTAATTCTTTTCCTGATGCATTGGGGATAATAGCAAGTTTCCTTCCTAGTTATCCAGGTGCTAAAATTCAAAGGTTTACAAGCAAGAGCATCTCTTTTATTCCGAATAAACTTGTTATTATTGTCTTGTAAATAAGAAATTCTTTATATATCAATGGCATATGAAAAAAGCAAGTAAGGTTACCCTTCATGGCTAGCACTGTAATCGAAGCCACAAATCATTTTGTTATCCCTTCTGGACAATCTCTTTATTAGTGAAATGCTTCTACTTGAAGATAAACAATGCCATTCTTTGTACAAACCTCTAAACTGTATAAAAATTGCTAGTGGCCCAGAAAAAATTTGATGGCTGCAAACTGAGTAATATTAAAACATCCCTGTTTTCTGCAAAAAGTTGAATCCACGCAATGCATTTTCATAAAAATAAAAGTCATGAAGTTTATAATAGTTTTTATGTCAATTACCAAGAAATCAGGAGGGAAAGTAAAGAGCATCAAAATGGTGGCATTTTGGACTGGACTGAACAACTGAATCATCTCCTCTTTCATGTACTCACTGGATACATGTAAAAAAGGGCTGGGGCTTGGATCATTTGGTCATGGCCTCCATGTTGACTCCTGTGGACATCCCTGCCAGTAGCTGAGCACTCTTCAGAAACAATCCTTTGCAATTCTTTCCTCAGGGCCATTTCACCTGTCACGCTTTCAAAGAGGAGGACGTTAAAACTTTATATTCATGTAGCAGATTTCTACATGAAGTGAATATGGCTCTGCAAACATTTCATGTTCTAAGATAAAAAAAAGTTTCATAGCATGCAGGAATTCTCACACAAAATCCCACAGAAAAAGCAGTGTTTTTCCACAGAATGTTGAGGCTACACTGCAGCTTCAGTCAGACAGCTGCAGCATAATCCTGGGGAAGGATTTGAAAGAATTGAATACAGATTGCTTTGTGCATACCTACCCATATTCTGAACACTCTATCTTAAATTCAAAATCATTGCAGAACCATAT